AGGTTTATAGGAGGCTGCAAAGAAATGCACATCCAGTCCTCCCTAACGTTAGCATCTTATACAATATCGCACAGTATCAACACCAAGAAATTGATGTTGGTACAGTTCATAGAGCTTATTCAGATTTTATTAGTTACACATGAACTTGTTTGGGTATGTAGTGTGTGTGTGTGTGTGTGTGTGTGTGTATGTGTGTTTGTCTACTCTGCAATTTTATCACACTATACTCTTGTACAACCACCATCAAAAATCAAGGTACCCAACTGTACCGTCACTGTAAAATGACGGTGCTTCCTCTGTATGGCCATACACTCCCAGTCTCTAACCCGGCAACCACTAATTTGCTGAACATCTCTATAGTTACGTTATTTCATAAATGTTACATAAATGCAATTATGCAGTGTATATCCTTTGGGGATTGGCTTTTTTTCACTCAGCATAATTTCCTTGAGGTTCATCCAAGTCATTCAATGTCACTTGTGTCACTCATTCATTATTTTTGTCTGGGTGGTATAGACACATCATAGTTTATTTAACCATTCACCCTCTGAAGGACATTTGGGTGTTTTCAAGTTTGGGGCTATGATGAATAAAACTGCTATAAACATTTGTGTGCAAGTTTATGTGTGGAAATAAGTGTCCATGTCTCTGGAATATAGGCCTAAGAGTGTGATTGCTGGGCAGGTGGTAGGTCCATTTTCAGTTTTCAAAGGAACTGCCTAGCCATTTTTCAAAGGGGGTCTAGCGTTTTATATCCCCACCAACAGCAGTGTGTAGATAAGTGTTGCTATCACTATTTCTCGTTTTAGCCATTCTTACAGGTCTGTAGTGATCTCTCACAGTTTTAATTTGCATTTCTCTAAGGGCTAATGATGCTGAACATCTCCCAACAGGAGGAGAACCCAGCACACCTCGTGTGACAGACAATAGTTTCCAAAAATGCCAACAGTAACACTGTCCAGCCCATAAGCTCTTCTAACCACATGACTCAGCTCGCCTCCCACTGAGGAGGGTTTTCCGTTCCTTCCTCCTGAATCTGGAAGGGCTGTGATTATGGTGGAAGTGGCACTGCGACTTTGAGGCTAGGTGATAAAAATGCCATATCCTTCCACTCTGTTTCTTTGGGACACTCAGTCTGGGAATCCAGCCTCCATGCTGTGAGGAAGGCCACTTGGAGAGGCCACATGGCAGGTGCTCTGGTGGACAGGGCCAGCTGAGCGTCCAGCCACCAGCCAGCATGAAGGACCTGACATGTGAGTGAGGAAGACGTCTAGAAACATCATCTAACAAGTCAGAGCAGCACTGGCTGGCTGAGCCTGGCCAGCTCTCAGAGCTATGTGAGAATGTAAAATGACTTTTGACTTAAGACTCAGAGCATTGGGGTGATTTGTTATAATGACTATAAATAAATGAAAATGTCTTCTGCACTATAGCATACTATAAAAGCTCTAACAGATTAGTATAAACTATACTCTCAACCTTTTCTTGGAGTAGCTACACTCCAGTTCTGCTTTCTTTCTTAAAACAAGCAAACAAACAAACAAAACTTTCTTTTCTCTATAGAAACTGGAGTCAACATGGCGCCTTGTTCTGAAATGTGGATGAGCTCACACTGGCCAACGAGGCCAAGAGCCAGGCTTCATTCAACATGGCTGCGTTCCCTCCCCCTGCACCACTCTCAACCCTGACGGGCACAGGCTCCGCCCCCTCACGTGTCTGCTGTCACCATGGCAGGGGCCTTCTCTGACTGCCCTCTACAGACCCACCACCCTCCTTAATCTGCTTAAAATCAATTAATTATAGAAAATTGAGCACTTATCACACCTGTCTGGTGGTGATTTTATCTGTATATTCATCTGCTTTTTTAAAAGGCTTTTATTTATTTATTTTCAACTTAGGGAGGTAGGGGGTAATTAGGTTTTTACTTATTTATTTATCTTTAATGGGGGCACTGGGGCTTGAACCCAGGACCTTGTGTGTGCTGAGCACGCACTCTACCACTGAGCTACACCGTCCCAACTATTCTTCTGTTTATTATCACACCCTATGCCCCACATAAGCTGAATGAAAGGGTTGATTTCGCTTTGTTCATCCTTAGATCCTAGCACTGCCCTGGCACAGCACAGACATTTAGGTAATATTTCCTGGATGAATGAGTGAGCAAGTCCATCAGACTGAGAGCACTGATGAAGTGCGAGTCCCTGTGGGTTTCTTTTGGATGCGTGGACATGCGGGAAAAGTTTAAAATGGAGATTCTGCCCTCGAGAATGACACTGAATGATCTAATCGCCTTTCATATATTGGGGGGAGGGGAGATCTTAGAGTGAGCTGATTCAATAATGAATCATCTTCATCTCACGTCTGATTTTGACATCTGATGTGGACTCACAGCACCTACACGGAAAGGAAAGACGCCTATACTGTCAGTCTCCAGAAACAAGGGAAGAGAGCATGGCTGAACCTGCCCTACTTGCCTTTTTTTTTGCCATATGTTCCAGTCCCCAGAGCCAATTTGTGGACCAGTTCAATGCTCTGCAAATTGTGTTCTGAGGTCACGGGACCTCTCTCCCTGGTGCTTTCCTGAGTCAGGCCAGGGGAGGGTTCCAATCCTTTTCTTAGAGTGCCCCAGCTCAATGGGAGATTGTGCAAAATGGCCACACAGTCCTTGCCTCTCTGTATCCACATCCCTTCGGCTGTGACTTTGCATCTTCTCCCATCGAGAGGCAGTGGTGTCCACTGCTCCCCCCCCACATCTAGGCTTGACCCGTGACTTATTTTGACCAAAGGGATATTAGCAAACAAGATATAAGCAGAGGGTTTGAGAGTGCTTGAGTGTTGGGGCTTGCCTTTCTTGCTGCTCTTGGGAACCTTGCCACAGGCACCAAGTGAATAAGCCTGGGGTAGTCTGCTGGGAGGTAAGGGACACACTGCCCGGTTACCTCCACTGCCCCTGCTGAGAGCCAGTCAACTGCCAGACAAATGAGTGAGGTCATCAACCCCAGGCTGACTGCAAATATAAGAGTGAGCTCAGCTGAGCTGTCCCAGCTGAGGTCAGTGCAGATGCCGACTCACAGAAGTGTGAGCAAATAAATGGTTCTGGTTTAAAGTTACTAACTACTGAGTGGTTTGTTACATAGCAAAAACTGACTGATACATACTTCTGTACCATCTTAAAGAATTCAGCGAGAGCAATGCAAAAAGCAGTACTTAAAACTGCCCATTAAACACACACACACACACATAAAGTATACATATATTCATGGAAATATGGGAAATGGGATTAGGGGTGATGGTCATTTTATCGTCTATACTTTTCTGAATTTGCTAAATTTTCCACAATAAAATCAACAATCTTTTTAAAACAAAAGAAGAAAAGTCAAAGTACTTGGGTGACTTCTTCTGGATGCCCTCTGATCATTCCTGGGCAGATTCTGATGTGACACAAATGTTTTCCATATGGCTGAGGATGCTCAGTTATAAACGATAGGTGTATTAAAGGAATGGCTAGCTCCACTGATGCCAGGGCTATTATATCTGGTGAGAATTTCAGGTAGGTTAAAAGAACTAAGTAGTGGAAAACCTAGGCTACGAAACTCTTTCATCTAACTGAGCTTTCCTGGGAACGTCAACTCATTCTTTCCTTGGCTGCTGTATCCTATGTTCTTTTATACCTTGGTGTGGCCGATGAGTTTCAAGTGAATCTCCAGAGCAGGTTGCAATGATGAGAAAGGCAGAAATCTGGGCTCAGAGATATGCTAGTGTGATGGCTATCTTCCATCTGTCCTTCCAGATCTATTCTTCTCCCTTCTCTGAGCCCTGGGAGGCCATCCTGTGTTGACTGCCCCTATGGTTTCTGACTGGACTCAGCCAATGGGGAGCACCAATAGGAGATTGGATGGATGGAGCAGAGTGAGGTTGGGGAATTTATTGGCTGGGCTCCAATCCTGCAGGTTCACTGTGGTCCAGATTCCACTGAAAATCAGAGCTCCTGCAGGCAGCCCTCTTCACACATCAATCTCTATTTCCAGATGTGAGCAACTAGCTCTGCACCTCACCTCCTCAGGCATGGGGTGATAAGAGCAGTGCTCCATTCTAGAGAACTGCATTCATCCTCATGACAGGTCCTTATGACTTTTCTGCATCTGCCCACACCTTTATTAAACTCTCCTTGAATTACCCACTGGAGTTTGTCACCTGTTTCCTGCAGGGACTCTGAGAGACATTGCAGACACGCACAGTCACACAAATAGGGTAGATCTGGCTCTAGAAAAGGCATTTTCTCACCACCAACCAAAATAAGAATGTGGCAGAAAAATGAAGGAAAAGAAATTTCCATACTTTCTATTACTCCCTACCCTTATTGTTAAGTCAGAAAATTATCCATCACACTCAGTTCACAGAAAGTTCTGACTAACAGGATGACATAGAGGATGGTCATTTCCTTTCTGTAAGCCTTCTGGGAAGTGCAGTGGGTGACTTGTGACTAAGGAAAATTAGAATTATGAGAAAGAGTCCTTAGGAAGATGATACTCATGACAGATGGAGTGTCAGCGTAAACCTTGGAGGGGCCAACGTGAAAGTCTTACCCGGCCATCACTTGTCAGGAGGATGGAGTCACTCTTTATATCCCTGTGAATCACTCCTTGGTCATGAAGGTAGGAGAGCGCTCTCAGAACCGACAGACAGACAGTAGCTATCTGTTCTTCATTCATTCTAGAAAGGAAATAACATTTAAGGAGCTAGGTCAGTTTAAGACATTTTTGAAATGATCAAGAGAAGTGCCTCCTTGGGTTCCAGTGAACCAGTCCAAGCTCCCCAGCCCATGTCTGAAAAATCTGCAGGTGAGGAAAAGGAAGTTTCTGCAATCTGACTCCCAGAACCCAAAAGTAAGCCTGGCACTGGGAATGACAGGGGCCAAATGAAAGCCAAAGGAAAGAGACCCCCTTTGGCTGGCTTTTGGGCCATGAGTGCAAATGCATTTCCTTGGATTCTTATAGGTAATTCATCAGTATCGGCAAAACTCCAGGGTCCTACAGAGAGAACACTCTGAATAGAGCCAAGTTTCCAGGTGGCAGCTAGGTGACCTTGAGGAAGTCCTTTAACTTCCTTGGGTCTCTTTTTCATCATCCTGGAAATAGGCACAGCTACCATGCTCTTCAAGGCTGGGCTCAGGCAAAGTGGTCTCTGGATCTCTCAGATCGCCCTCTGGGACTTGCCTGGCCTCTCATCAGCCCTCCCTCACCCTCCTCCAGGAGCTGGAGGCTTCTGTTCCTCCAGGTCCCTCTGTCAAGAAGGAACCTAGTTAGTTACTAAAAACTCAGCATGAATGGGTGATTCTCTCATAAACAGACCATGGGGATGAGAAAGACAAGCACCACCCTGGATGTGTGCTCCCACGTTTCATCATGGGCTGCACCCTCTAAAGACGGTATTTCTGGTTTCAGAGAAGATTGAGGTCAGATGATCTGTCCAAGGTTATACAGTAAGAAAGTGACCAGATCATGATTCAAGTCCCACCTTTCTTTGAGTTCAGAACCCACGCTTTCCCACTTCCCTATTGCATCACACGACCACTATAACTCAAAAGGACGGAAACACCATGGAGGAATCCAGGTGAGAAGAAACAGACAGCCGAGGCTGCTCAGTGTCCTCAAGACGACCCATGCTGGCATCTGCCTAACTCACCCAGGTGTAAAACCTCCTCCCTCTCTCAGAGATCTCGCGAGGCCCAAATCAGATCGCAAATGTGAAAGACCATCTCACACAAGCTATCGGGACACGGTCAGGAGGCATACGGGTGTCACTGATCAGAGCCCAAATTTAACGACTGACTCAGCAAGTAATCCCAGGTAACGCTTAGCTCGGCAGGACAAGTAAATAGACGGCCTTGAATCTGTGTTTCAGTCTTGTTGATGCCAGCAAACCCTGACTGAGCAAAATGAGGGTTCAAAGTAAATTCCCAGGAGATAACCAACTAGGAGACTGTGGAAGGCGGATGAGTGTGAAGAAACATGCCCTTCTCCTGAAGAGGATTCCTACTACAATAAACTGGTCTCATAGGAAGGCAAGTGAGAAGAAATGTTCTTATCTGAAAGAGAGTGGAAACCTGTATCTTCTGTGTTCTTGGTTTTGTGGTGAGC